AAGATTACAGCCTCCAACCACACCTACGCTGCTACAAAAGATATGATCTTGTTCTTTTTATGGCTGCATAGTATTCTGTGATCTATATGTACCACGTTATATTTATCCAATCTACCACTGATGATCACTTAGGTTCATTCCACGTCTTTGCTATTGTGAATAGCACAGCAATGAACATATGAGTATATGTGTCTTTATAAACAAAGTAGCATAATTCTGGTACAAAAACAGATGCATAGAACACTGGAAAAGAATAGAACTCTCAGAAATCAAGCCACTAACTTACAATCATCTGACCTTCAACAAATCTGACAAAAAAAAATGCAATGGGGCAAGCATTGTCTACTCAATAAATGGTGCTGGGATAAGTGACTAGCCAAACGAAGAATGAAACTTGGCTAGCTATATTTAGAAGAATGAATGCCCCCACAACCTGCATCAAGGGGAAACTGGATGGGGGCTATCCCTGGTGGGGCAGCTCCTCAGTTCTGTTTACCACCAAACTTGGCACAGCCAGGTGATTAAATCCAAATTCATTCAGAATGTAGTTGAGATGAGGCGCTGTGTGGTGGAAGAAGAATGGCATTTGTAGCCAGACGACCTAGGTTTGAGTCTTATCTCTGGTCCCACACCTTTCACATATACCAAAATTAACCCAAGCTGGATTAAACATTTAATGTAAGAACTTATTCTGTAAACATCCTAGGAGATACCCTAGGGTCTTTCTCAATATCAGCATTGGAAAAGAATTTTGGTTATGTCCTCAAAAGCAATTGCAACAAAAACAAAAAATGACAAATCATCCTTAATTAAACAAAGGAGCTTCTGCACAGCAAAATAAACTATCGATAGAGTGTGTAAGCAATTTACAGAATGGGAAAAAATATTCCCAAACTATGCTTTCAATAAAGGTCTACTATCCAGAATATATAAGGTATTTAACAAATCAACAAACAAAAACCAAATAACCCGCTTACCAAAGAGCAAAGTGCATGAACAGACACTTCTAAAAAGACTGCACAAGTGATCATGAGACATATACGAAAACGCTCATCATCACTAGTCACCAGGGAAATGCAAATCAAAACTAAAATGAAATATCATCTCACACCAGTCAGAATGACCATTATTAAAAAGTCAAAAAACAACAGACGCTGGAGAGGCTACCAAGAAAAGGGAACACATACACTATTGGTGGGAATACAAATTACTTCAGCCACTGTGGAACGCAGTCTGCAGATTTCTCAAAGAACTTGAAACAGAGCTCCAATCTGACTCAGTAATTCCATTTCTGGAAATATACCCAAAGAAAAATTAGATCATTATACTGTCATTTTTTTTCTTGTTACACTTCTTTTTTTTAGTGTACTCTCCAATAGATATGACATTCATAACTATATCCTCAGCTGCTTAAATGACTTCCAAAATAATATTTATATTGCTCTTGTAGAACTGTATTGCTAAATCTAAACAGCTTACCTGCACCTGGCTGTTCAAAGCGTGCTCGTACTGCAAACTCCTCAATGCATCTGAGTTCTCAGTCTCTATTTTGGATGACTATCTGCCTTCTCACAGAGTGATACTTTTTTCCTTCAGTGACCACTACATTTCCGTCAAATACGGGACTAAGTTCAAGTGACAGTAAATTCTGAATACCTTAGAATCTATCTCTTCATCCTTTTCATTATTCCCAACATTATATTATACAAGGATGAAGCCACTTGATTTAAGTTTGTGTCATGTCAGTACTTACGTCAGCACGTTAAACTGCTTACATCTCTCTACTGAAGAGTTTTCAGTGACTTCTGTGTATTCTATGTATTATTTGTCTTATTTCTTTGTCTTTTTCAAGAAACATCATATGAAAAAAGGGTAAGCGATTAAGGAATCTACCAAAAAATATGGCTTTTACTTTCCAACTAACTTTTCTTTAATGAATACATTTACTGTCAAGAATGTTACAAATCACTATTTAAATACAAAAATGTAAATATTACAAATAAGTCTATTAGATTTTGTTTCTGAAGGAATGCTCACTAATATGTTGCTGAGTTAATGTTCTAAAGAAAGTACTGAATATGTTGCCATCATTTTCAAACTCCCGCAATAATACTTCTATAATTGTTCTGTAAATTGTGGTAAAGACAAAACCACTGACTACCCTCCGAATTCCCTTGGAAGCCTCCCCATGCTGGCCACCCTGAACACACCTGGCCTTCCTTGATTCTCTCTTTTCAAACCAGCCACATTTACCATTTATTGTTTTCCAATGATCAAGGCTCTTTGATAATCTAGGTCCTCCCATGATGAAGGTCTGTTGGATGGCAAATGTCCACAGTTATCACTTAGTTAGAAATAAAGGCTCCTGAGAGACCCACAAAAAGAACTACTGAAAGAGAATCTGCATTTTGACAGGATCTCTAGGAAAGTCATAGGCATTATCATTTGAGAAGCACAGAATTAGGGCACCTCCCACTGCAGTCCCTGGCTTTGTTTTATATTGGCTCCTTCCTTGTCCTCTTCCTAGTGAAATTTCCCATCAGATTTTAGCTACAAATGGAGGAACTTGGTATATGTCTAAAATGTAAGCTGAAATTTGAATGGGGAACACAGCTCTGTTTGGTTTTGGCTCCTGAATTGAATCTAAAATTTTGGTCTTACTAAAATTATGTTTTGATTATGTCAGATAAGACCATACTAATCAAAGCCCTAAGAGTAAATTTCACATATATACTAAAGTTTGAACAAATATGGCAGAAGTGTCATCTGAGGTGGTAAATAGTGGCATAAAGTGTTATTTCAATTGTTAAAAGTAGAAGTGTCCACAATGAAATGATGCTTATGGTTCTGGGAGTCTGTAATGACCTTTGGGCCAACCTGGATTCTCATATGTGTCTGAATTCACAATGCCCACTAGAATCGCTTCAATCTGTTCTACAGGGAGTCCTCTGGCAATCTTATGAGAACTTCAGTTTTTCACTCCTTCATCTTCTGGAAAAAATACCCAGCTGCACAATTGGATCAGTCATGTGCTCAAACCAAATTTTTATAACCAAAAGTTTTCTAAGCTTGGGAAATGAAGTCTCCAAAAAGAATGAATATGCAGTGAAATGCTACCAGTGCTATTAACATCGCGGTGCTACTGTGGTTTTATTTTTTTTTCTGTTTTATACAGTGTAACACGTTTAAAGGATATCCACAATTTCTTTCAAAAATATGGGTAAGGAGGAAATAATTTTTTTAATTTTCATTATGCTTTATAGAAATGTTGAAATGCTGTTTAATTGATTGAAATTTTAGATCAGGTATACAGGCTATTAAAATAGCCAGAAGGAAGTTGAATAACTATTACTATACTGTCTTTAGATTTCAGTTTTATGACTATACTATGGATAGGGTAGTTATAAGACTGAATTGTTCCTTTAATGATACTGTATTATCTTGTTAATCTTGTTATAATAACTTTATATGACCTAGGTCATTAAATAATTAAAACTTGGTTTAAAGGTTCAGATCATAATGATTCTTAGAATTATTTCTTGGAATTATTCTGATATAAATACCCATTCCTTTTAATTAGCCACATTCCCTGATTAAAACTTTTAATGTGAGTCACCTACAGATAAATTCCTGTATCCTTACACCCACATTGGACAACAATTCACAGCTCACACTGTAAATGTTATTGATGTAAATAAAAGTTGCATTAAGAAGAGTCTTGGTAATTCTGCCTTGGCTACCTTTGAATCCAAAATCTTTCTCTCTCTCTCCATATTCCAAATGTAGGATCAGTGTGTTTCATTTGCCATCCTAGATCGTGTCCCTTCACTCTACAAGGAAGAAGAATGGGAAAATGAGTTTCTAGCTCTTTTGGCTTGTAGAGCAGTAGGTATCCTCTGACAGCTGCCAAGACATGGATGGTAAAAAAAAATCACGTCTTGGCTATTTACGGGACATATGTCCACTTTGTTACCTCTTTAACATAACTTGCTCCAGTTGATTTTTTTTGCCACTCTTTTTGTTTCTTTGTTACTCTCCAATGGATACATCATTCTTAACTGTGCCTTTGACTACCACAATAATTCCTAGTAATTATTTCTGTTAAACTCTAACAGGTTCATATTACTGATTGGATCTACCTAGTTGGCTGCAGGATGCGCACTCCAAGAACTTGCTAGCACATCTGAGTTCCCATCCTTAATATTTAATGACCAACTACCCAGTCACCAAGTGACTCTTGCCTCCTTTATTACCTTTTGTTTCCCACCAAATATGTCATAGAATACTAGAGAATCTACATTCTGAATTCTTTGGAATCTATTTCTTTGTCTTACCATCTCTTCCAATGTAATATCACACATGGACTAAACACCTAGCACTCATTTGAATCACCTTGAGGGTATTTTTAAAGACAGATTTCTAGAACTCATTTCTGAAATAATCAATTTCTACATTAAAATCTCACAATCTGTATTTTTCATAAAACACTTTCCAGATAATTTTCATTTGTGATTTGATTTGGGATTACTGGGACCTTAGTAACAAGTTTCTAATTAGTACCCCTTAGTCCAATTTCCCCATCCCACAGCATACTTTCTACACTATCAAAAAATTTAGAAACTGTTTTAGGATGCTATTTCCCATCTTAAAGTATTTGGTACATAGTTATACAATGAAAAAGTGTAAGATTCTTCACATGGCATTTATTTCATTGACTTTTATTCAGACCTTTCAAAAACTTTTTCTCCAGGACCTCCATTCATGTACCAGACACAGGATTGTTCTACCACATTCAAGAGTGTGCACATAAATTTAGTGAATCCAGAGAATGCATATTACTACCCAATTTTCAAACAATAATATATGATTTTTTCATTTCATTAACACCTTAAATATAGGATTTCTTATTTATAATAATGATCAAAAAATTAAGAGGGCTCTGATAATTGCACACTTCATTGCAACACCTCTTCCCCAATTTCAACTCGTAATGCCATTGCAAATGTTCCCTTTCATTTGTTGCATTTTATTTTAGAGGACATGCAGTGAGGACATGGAAGAGGCAAATGCAACACTGCTGACAGAGTTTGTTCTCACAGGATTTTTATATCAACCACAGTGGAAAATACCCCTGTTCCTGGCATTCTTAGTAACATATCTCATCACCATCATGGGGAATCTTGGCCTGATTGCTGTCATCTGGAAAGACCCTCACCTTCATATCCCAATGTACTTATTCCTCGGGAATTTGGCTTTTGTGGATGCTTTGTTATCATCCACAGTGACTCCGAAGATGCTGATCAACTTCTTAGCTAAGAGTAAGATCATATCTCTCTCTGAATGCAAGATACAATTTTTTTTCTTTGCAATTGGTGTAACCACAGAATGTTTTCTCTTGGCAACAATGGCATATGATCGCTATGTAGCCATATGCAAACCTTTACTTTATCCAGTCATTATGACCAACAGACTATGCATCCGGCTATTAGTCTTGTCATTTCTAGGTGGCCTTCTTCATGCTGTAATTCATGAAGGTTTTTTTTACAGATTAACCTTCTGTAATTCCAACATAATACATCACTTTTACTGTGACATTATCCCATTGTTAAAAATTTCCTGTACTGATTCTTCTATTAATTTTCTCATGGTTTTTATTTTCTCAGGTTCAATACAAGTTTTCACCATTGGGACTGTTCTTATATCTTATACATTTGTCCTCTATACAATCTTGAAAAAGAGGTCTGTGAAAGGTATAAGAAAAGCCTTCTCCACCTGTGGAGCTCATCTCTTATCTGTATCTTTATACTATGGCCCCCTCGCCTTCATGTATGTGGGCTCTGCTTCCCCACAGGCTGATGACCAAGATACGATGGAGTCTCTATTTTACACTGTCATAGTTCCTTTATTAAATCCCATTATCTACAGCCTGAGAAATAAGCAAGTAATAGATTCGCTCACAAAAATGGTCAAAAGAAATGATGTTTAGATCTCTTACTCATTTCTCTTTTCTATTTACTAAAATAGTCACAAAATTGTGCAAATTAGAGGTACCTATGTTTTGCCACCATTAAAGGATTTTGCAATTATAACTCTCCCAGCACTTTAATGACCTATGATATTAGTACCTATTTAACTAATTAAAATATCCCACTGTTATTCAAAAGCATTTGAGAAATTTTAGTCAACTGTTCATAATAGAATAATGATACCATAAAGCAAATAAAAATATTGTACAGTATGGCATGTTAATCAATGTGTCTCATAAATACATCAAATTCAAAATAGTCTAGTTCATCTGTTAAGCACTTAAGTATGATGTTTTTGATACTAACACAAGTGTATGTCCCGAGATGTCTATCACATTTATCTTCATAGTGAAGGTTGATTTGTGTCTAGGGGAAGACAGGTAGATTCAAGAATTCTACTAGCCATCAAGAGGCCTTTCAGTCTGTAAAAGAGTGAATTTCACTTCTTGTAGGAAGTCAACTCACATATCAAATAAAGTAACAGAAATGGAAATGCAGTGAGGACAAAATGAGATGGGGTTAACAGTGAAGGCACTGCCAATGTGCAAGAGGGCAAGAGGATGCTGTTAACGCTGTGTGCTTGTATGAGTAAGAAGCATGCAGCCTTTAACTTTCTAAGATGGCTTCTAAGGGACTTAGCAGCTGTGATTTCATTTTCAATCTGAAAAGCTTCCCTAAATCAGAAAATTAAATGAATAAACAGAACTTAATTTGAAATAGTCATAGAAAGGAAAAGACAAATGACATAGCAGGAAGAAAAGGGTCTTAATCTTCCTAGAAAAAATAAATGAAGCTACTAAGGTTTTAAAAGTCAGTGATGTTACATGATTATTGGAATGTGTTGTTGACAACCAGGGACTTTAAATCTTTATCACCAAAGTTCAAAGAATTTTAAGTTGACATGACATCATAGTGTCCAGTGATTGTGAAGAAAAATATGAAAATGAGGAAGAGTTTGGATATTTTCTGCTTCAAAAAGTCCTTGTTAACTTTATTTTCACTTCATACTCTTGAAGTATGTGAGTCATCCATCTACCATTCCACTCTGCCTTTTATCTTTCGACACTGAAATTCATTTCACTTTGTCACTGATACCAAGGCCCTTACCCTAAAAATTACGTACATGTTGTTTTGCAAACCTCTAGTTATTTTCTCCACCCTTCTTACACTCATTTATTTCCCCATTTTGCTGTCAGATTGTTTTTTCCAATGCCTACAATTTCTTTTGTTGGATCATCATTGCTACCTGATTTTATATATATATATATAAATATGTATTTTTTTAAAATAAATAAATAAATATATATAAAATCAGGTAGCAATGATATATATATAAAAAAATGTGTGTGTGTATTTTAGGTGTCTATATATGTATATATACACTTATGTATACATAAGAGGAGAGAAAGGCTTCTATTGATTTGATGTGGAAGTAAGGCAAAAAGAAACTTTTGTGGCTAAAGTGGAGCAGTAGCATTATTTGGATTATTCCAGTAGAAAGTTCCTACTTAGAGGTGAGTTGATTGTTTCTGATTGGTTAAAGTAAACTTTTATTAAGAACCTATCATCAGAGTGAACAGGCAACTGACAGAAAGGGAGAAAATTTTTGCAATCTCTCCATCTGACAAAGGGCTAAGATCCAGCGTCTATAAGGAACTTAAACAAATTTACAAGAGAAAAACAAACCACCCCATCAAAACATGGGTGAAGGATATGAACAGACACTTCCCAAAAGAAGACATTTATGTGACCAACAAACATGAAAAAAAGCTCGTCATCACTGGTCATTAGAGAAGTGCAAATCAAAACTACAAGGAGATACCACCTCACACCATTAGAATGGCGATATTAAGAAGTCAGGAAACCACAGATGCTGGAGAGGAGGTGGAGAAATGGGAATGCTTTCACACTGTTGGGCACGTAATTAGTTAACCATTGTAGAAGACAGTGTGGTTATTTCTCAAGGATCTGAAACCAGAAATACCATTTGATCCAGTAATTCCATTATTAAGTATATAGCCAAAGACTTAGCTATCATTCTGTCCTAAAGACACATGAAGACATATGTTTATTGCAGCAGTATTCACAATAGCAAGCACTTCAAACCAACCCAGAGGCACACCAATGACAGACTGGATAAAGAAAATGTGGCACATATACACCATGGAATACTATGCAGCCATAAAAAAGAATGAGTTCATGTCCTTTGCAGGGACATGGATGAAGCTGGAAACCATTATTCTCAGCAAACTAACACAGGAACAGAAAACTAAACACCACATGTTCTCTCTTATAAGTGGGAGTTGAACAATGAGAACACATGGGCACAGGGAGGTGAACGTCATACACCGGGGCCTGTCAGGGGGTGGAGGGAAGGGGAGGGAGAGCGTTAGGACAAACACCTAATGCATGTGGGGCTTAAAACCTGCATGATGGGTTGATGGGTGCAGCAAACCACCATGGCACATGTATACATGTGTAACAACCTGCACGATCTGCACATGTATCCCAGAACTTAAAGTATAAAGAAAAAGAACAAGTTAACTTTTGTTTTACCACTTACAATGAGTTGGGTTTCTGCGTGCTTAGGTAGAAGCCCATTTTGCTGGAGCCACCTCAGCCTAATCTACTTCAATTTTATTATTTTAACTATTTTCTCCCTTTTGTTTCACTTCTCAATTATGGGATATTGACCAACACTCAGGCACATGGAGCACTTTCTCACCACCAGAGCTGGTTGTCTTTGTCTCAGCATGTTACAATTTCTAGTCTCAAAAGTTACAATTTCTAAAAGTTACAATTTCTAGTCTCTTAAAGCAGTGTTTCTTTTATTGGACACTTTGTTTATGCCATTTTAATCATATGGAGAAAATCTGATAACTGTGATAGCTGTGAATTTGCATTTCAGACTCAAGAAAATACAGCATACCAGGAAGATTACAGTGATGACCCTCATGAGGAAAACATCAAGGGACTGGGAATTACCCCACAGCCAAAGCGCCCATGAATGAAATAAGACAAATAAAAAGTTAATGGTTATAGGCCAGGCGTGGTGGCTCACGCCTCTAATCCCAGCACTTTAGGAGGCCGAGGTGGGTGCATCAGTTGAGGTCAGGAGTTCCAGACAAACCTCACCACCATGGTGAAACCTGTCTGTACTAAAAATACAAGAAATTAGCCGGGAGTGGTGGCAGGTGCCTGTGATCCCAGCTTCTTGTGAGGCTGAGGCAGATGAATTGCTTGAACCCAGGAGGCTGAGGTTGCAGTGAGCCGAGATGGTGCTACTGCACTCCAGCCTGGGCAACAGAGCGAGACTCTGTCTCAGGGAAAAAAAAAAAAAAAAGGTTAATGGTTATAACAATCTGTAAACTTAGTATCTGAACCCAAAGGGCAGTTAGTTGAGGAGATACTTAGATTTTAAGCTCAAAGCATCATTTGATGTTGGAATAAAATGGCAGTTGCAATTGTTGATTTTTCTGTTTTGCAGTCTGAATGTCTCTGATTATGTTATTGGATATTTTGGTGAGCTTTTTAGCAGCCCACTCAGCTGCATGTATGAAGATTGTCCTCTGAACTTTATATCAAGTTGCCCACACCAAGTTCATAGGGCTTCATGAAAAGACAATTTATAGGTAGATAATAAAACTCAAAAACAACAGACAGAACTTGAATTTAATAGCGGATGCACTATAGTTTTCTACTGAAATATATTTTGGGGTATTAATTTGGTAGATCATCAGCTTCTCAACATAGCTTTTGTTTTGTAATTAGGTTAATGAGTTGAAGGTGGATCCCACTGATGAATAGGACGAGTATTTTCTATGCTGAACTCAACATGAATTGACCAGAATGTTCTACAAATCACACTTCTGATCTTGCCTTATAGTCAGAGATTAGTTCCTCCTGTTTTGTTTATAAGATTACATGTCAGACGAGTGAATTTTTGAAGGAATACTTGGGGAATGGATGCTGGAGGATTATTTGTTATTTTCCCACCCCGTTTTGTTCCTTTTCTGGAAGACTGAGTTGTTGGATCTTTGCTATCTATCTTAGGTACTTCATGTTTGGCTTCAGCTATAGGATTAACCAGTTTACAGTAGCATGTTATTAAATTGATAAAGATCAGGGAGTCCTGGGTTATATGATCCTGCAAGAATTCTAAATTCCACAGAAAACTTCTGGCACTTTTGCTTGGGACAGAGATATTTTTCTCCATTGCTCTGAGCTCAGATTTTGACCAAGGTGTAAAGGTGGTTAAAGAAGGCAGGCCTGGTTGACCTGAGGAAGTGACTTTATAAGGCATTTATCTAGTTTCCTTTATTTTAATGGGTGAAAATGTAACTGAGCAAAAGGTTTAGTAGACTCAGAGTTATAAGGTAGAGTAGGATAGAGTGAAATGTAGTTGAAAACACCTTTGCAAAAATGATGACAGAAAAATCTCACATAGGAATATTATGACAGTGAATCTGCAATAAGAAAATCAGGCAGTGCTTCTCATCTCCAAGCTGCCCTTCTGCATTCCTGAGTGTAGGTTCAACCACCTCTGGAAGGAATTTATAGTTTGACTTTGAAACAAATATGGTAAGAGTCTCTCCTCAAAGCAAACTTCCTCCTTGCTTGTGAATCCTACCACCTTTGTAAAACTCAGATTATCACAAAATTAGAAATTATGGCCCCTGATCATGCAACCAGAGGCCACAGATTTCTAACCTTCCTAATTGCTCCTACAGATAATATTCCTATTGTGAAATCTAAGATTGGTGTTCCAGGTGTTTTATAGATCCTGAATTCTGATAAGTCAGCTGGCACCGCCCAGAATGGTAAAAGGACTCCTCTAGTTTTGAGACCCCCACACAGGATTCACAAGAAGACAACTTCAACCCCTATGATTGTATCCTCATCCCAACCAGTCAGCTTTCCTCATTCCTTAGACCCCTGCCCAACGAACTGTGTTTAAAAAACCCTAGCCTCTGAATTTTTGGAAAGGGTGATTTGAGCAATAATAAAACTTGAATCTAATCTCCCATTTAGCCAGCTCTA